CTAACTCATCATACCAAGAGTATTTAAAATAGACTAAACACAAAAGCATAACATCTTCACCTCAAGATTTGACTCATAAGTACCACGCATTATTCACAACTCACCCACTTACTCTAACATAGAGGTCACTGGCATTACCTTTCCTTCATGAATCAAGTGCCCTCACACAACAAAAGAGAGTAGTCCCACACAATAAAATTTAAGAACATTTAGGAACACAAGATAGAAAGAATTCACTCACTCTCAGAAATAACATTCATATGCCACAAAAGATGCACCATAGGCTTGCCCGTAGTGTACTACTCTACTAATCGAGCTCATTCAGTCTAGGATCAAGTAGGACTTTATTTGGTTGTAATGTAGGCTGAGGGATGGGTAGGATAGATTTAGATATAAGAGTGACTACACCTCCCTAAACACTTTAATACATACACTTTAACATTTAAAACCCCATACTTATGTTAAACCATAACTCCACCTTCACATCAATATATATTAGCCCCCCACTTCTTTAAGCACACTTACGTCAAGAGTCACCACTTATCAAGGAATTTTTTTCCCCACAACAATCCAACTATTTTTTTTTCAATTCAAGTGGCTCTTCCTTTTTCAAAATGGTGCACCTTTCTCCTTATTAAATTAGTTCCACTCAAAAGCCAAACCAACCACCCCACACTTTAACTTTACAAAGTTCATAACAATTCAAGTGCTCATGAGAGGTGAAAATGTTCAAATAGATGGTTAATTCAAACAAATGGGTAAGGCTTGTAATGTGGTTGCCAAAGAAAAAGGATTATAGGCTCAAAGAAGTTAACTAAGATACATAATAATTAGGTGGGTAAAATATACGTATCTGGCTCAACAAAGAAATGCCTATATCACTTCCTAGACTGAATAAAACTACTATTTCGCTTTGCAAACACATGGGGCAAGTTCTAGGCATCAAATGCAATGCACAGAATATAACAAATCTTTACACACACATGACACATAACTCACTCAGACACTCTAGTCAAAGCAGTTAGGCAAAGTTAAGATCATAAAATTTAAGGTACTTATACAAGAGTCAAAAACTGAGCCTAAGCGTCCCAGCCAAAGTACTCACTATTCTCAAGGCATAACCAAGTCAAGAGATATTGCTTCAATTCAAAACAAAACACAATGGCTCCTACTCCCAAAAAAACTAACTACACCCGGTTCAAATAAAACCCTTGGAAAAGAACCGCGGCATAAAGAAAAACCAAGGGGGAATTATTACACTACCTACAAAGAAAATCTTTTTTTTCTTTAGACTTAAATCCCTCAAGAAAATTGTCTAATAGATCCATCATCGGAAAAAGTCCAATCTTTTAAAAAAATACTATTTAATTAAACTAATACAGCTAAAGTAGCATAAAAAGTCACCCAGACAATCTCATCCCACACTTAAAATTGTGCATTGTCCCCAATGCACAGCATAACCATAAGAGGGTAAGAGAAACTCCTTGGTAGGCCAAAGGCCGAAGCACTAGCAGTTCATGGAGTACTCAGACTTCTTCCAGGCTTGGTCCTTCGTGCGGGTACCCCACACTTAGTTCCAACCATTTGGTTTGTTGTTGCATCCTTCCAATACCTTTGCTTTCCATGATCCTAAAAAATAAAAAATCGACACTACAAAAATAATACAATAAAAAAAATAAAAAAATAAAAGAAAGCAATAAAGCTGGGTTGCCTCCCAACAAGCGCTTGATTTAACGTCGCGGCACGACGCGAATCACTTTTTGCCTCCACCTCGAGCTTATGAATTGAACCCCCAATTTGGCATCAAGTTTTCGGCTATGCTCCAGGGGTGGAGGAACAAATCTAATTGTCCCAAGCAACCATTGTACTATTCTACACTTCTTGGCTTTTAGATGAGGTATGTAGTCCTGTCTTTCTGGCAAGAAAAATTCCAGACTGTAGGCACCTTGTTCCTCATTCCTTGACTCCTCAATTGGCTCGGACGACTCTATTTCCATATCATCATCCAAGCCCAATGTGGAAAAATGTTTGGAGTGAGGACCAACACGCTCAAACACGTGAACTTCAGGACTTTCAACATCCTCAACATCAATGATACTAGAGTCAACAAAATTTGTATCCTCAAAGTCCTTGGCTGACTCTAGTCTCACTTCTTCAACATCGACATCCTCAAATTGTAGTTGGCTAGGTTGTTGATGTTCTACTCTGACCTCCTTAATTAACACCTCAAATTCATGCTCTTCTTGGCTACTATCCTCAATATTGACTTGTTGAGCATTAAAAGCTTCAACCACTTGACTCAATTGAGCCTCCAACTTGCGAATAGTTGCCTCTTGCCTTTCTATGTGCAATTGTTTCTCATTGTTTTGTTCCATAAGGCACTTTAGCATATCCTTGATCTCCTTCACGTCCGCATTCTCAGGTTCTTTGTTCCTATTAACTTCACAAGAAAAGGTAGAACCATCATAGTAAGGGGTTGGGGGAAAATAAAAAATATAAGCACAACCATGAAGGTGACCATTTTTACCACCACACACATCACACACATTCCGCAAATAAGATTGAGTTGGTGCACATAACTCACTCTCGGGAATATTTTAATAATTTTGATACGGGTGGTTTCCTTCACAATATGTATGAGGATCAATAGTAGAATTATCTACACCTAAATTTCCATATTTCCAAGATGTCATGTTTCTCAAATCAACAGTTATAAAAAAAACAAAACAAAAAAAAAAACAAAACAAGATAAAAGTTCAAACTTAAACCCTAGCAATATATACAGCTACAACTACACCGTTAGTTCCCCGGCAACGGCGCCAAAATTTGATCACGCCCAATTCTAGTCCTAAAAAGGATAAGCGGTCGCTGCAAATATAATCCGGTCTAAAAGTCCGGAGTCGAATCCCACAGAGAACTAAGGCTTAGCTATAGTTGTTCAATATCGCTAAGAAACACAAGTCCAAACAATTTTCTAATTATAAAGATTATAATATTTATTTTTATCTAATTAACTAACAAATCTAGAAAGCCGTAAAACTATCAATTAACAAGGATAAGGATTGGAGTCAAGATTAAGGAGGTCTAGAGTTATGATTTCCCCAATTGTCGGAATCCTTCCCGCTACGTTTTCTATAAATTTGCCTAAGTATTCTCTACCGATCATGAGCGCTCTAACTGTCGTAACTCTCTCCCGAGTAATTACCACAATTTACTAGACGCACTCTCCCGAGTTACGCTAGCTGACTTTGTTTATTACAGCTCACTTTAGATTGCACCCAAGGCTTCGTTATCCCTAATCCTGCCTTTAAACCCGCAATTATAGATCCCTCTTATACTTTGGGAGTGATGTTGTTCAACAACTACCTAAATATGCACTCTCTCTCGAGTTATGCACACTAAATAGGCACAGCTAATTGAGGATCCTGTCAATTAACTACAACAAACACGTAGTTGAACAAATAGAGAAAATACTACGGCTCAATTATAAAAATAACAAGAATTTATCCTACAAAAGGTTCCATCAAAACCCTAGATAACAAATTAGCTATTCATAATAGCATGTAAAACTACAATACTAAAAGTCATAACCAACAATGAAAAGTAGGAAGAGGAAGGAAAAACTCGTAGAAGAATTTCCCGCCTTGCTCCTAGCGTGTTCTTGCCTCCAAGGGTGTTGTCTAACCCTAAAGTAGTGTCTCTTCCTTCAAAGTGGTATTTTAGGATGTATTTATATGACCTAGGGTTGATGAGGGGCGGAATTCTTCAATCCAACTTCGGATGGGAGAGCTGGAATCCGCGTCTGCCTTCGCGTCTAGACACGAACTTTGACGCGGATCCAGCTTTTGAAATTCTTCCATTTCGCGAAGCGCTCCGTGCCTTTGCTTCGCTTCGCTGTTTTGTGCCTTAACTTTTCTCCTTTTTCGCGTCCGACTTCATGCCACGCACGAGAATAGACGAGCTCCCACTCCTTTAATTTCTTCTTTTTGTGTCGAATTGTCATCTTTTGATCATTTATCATCCAAACTCGTTCCTACACATAGAAACACATAATGAGTATATTTCACTTCGAAAATCATGTAATCTCCCGCGACACACACAAGAATTAATATGCAAATATACTAAAAAATATGCACTTTTCATCATTTATCAAATTACACTAAGTAGAAGTGTATTGGTAATACCAGTAAGAAAAATTAGTGATTGATTTACCTATACACTAAAAATTCTACTAAGTAGAAGTGTATTAGCAGTATTCTTAAGAAATATTACTCATTGATTAGTTTATAAAATGATACAAACTACACTAAGTAGAAGTGCATTAGTGATATCCTTAAGTAATATTAGTGATTGATTAGACTATTAATTGATACTTAACTACGTAAAAGTGGTTTAGTCGTAATTAGCTTGTAAATTAATAATTATATTAGCTTATGATTTATTTTAAATTATTAATATTAATTTTATTATTAATTAATGCTAAAAGATGAATTACATTAAAAATATTACAATTATGGGCATAATATTTTCAGAAATAAATATTTTCAGAAACTTAAATATTACACATAAATTATACTGTAAGAAGAATTATGTGTTAGGTTTTTATAAAATATTAGTTTGATTTTCATTGATTCGTAGTAATTTGTTAGCTAGAATTTAATTAATTATCAATTTGATATTTTATATAATAATTACATACTAGATAATTTGTTAGCCTATACTAGTTATATCGTTAATTAACACTAATAATTTATTAGCTAGTATCCTTAAGTAATGTTAGGTTCAATTACACTGTAAATTGATAATTACATTACGTAAAAGTGTATTAGTGATAATTAATTAGCTTATAAATTGATAATTACACAAAAATTATGGGTCATTATTTTTGGTTTATATTATTACATGTTTCTAATTACTTGACCAAACTTAAACATAAACTAATTTGGTTAACAAATAAGCACTCCGCCTCACTGCTTAAACATAAACATAAACTTTAGAGATGTGAAATCCCGCTTCATTAAACATAAGAATATACATTGACAAAATTAAACACTCCGCCTCACTGCTTTAGGGCAAATCCCCGCTTCACCGGCGTCGTCGGCACTCAATCCAAGCGGCTATAGTCGTCGTCGTCGGCAATAAGCGGCCATCGTCGGCACTCAGACTCCTCTCCATCTCCGTTAAGGTTTCTTCCATCGTCGGCCATTGAGGTCGTTTTTAGGGGTGGTTTGAGTTCACAAATTCTCATAGTAATGCGAAGGGGAAGGGAGGTTTAGGATAAGAGGAAAGGAAAGAGAAGGGTCTGGTGAAGATGAATCTTAGACCTTGAAGGGCTTTATTTTTATTTCATTCTCAAGTTTGTTCTTTTGGTTGTTCAATCCTATTGTTATTTGAGACCAACATTCATGGTTTTGCTCTTTCCGTTATATGCTCTCCAGTTTTAGCTCTTTTTGGTTTTGAATGGCATTAGTTCAACACCTATTAACTACTAGCTGCTGCTCCATCATGGTATGTATAATTTATTTGCTTTCAGGAATTGGAATTTGAAGATAAAGTTTCAAACTTTTTAGTTTATTTGTTTGAATTCGCAATTTAGAATTACTAGAAAGAAAATTGAAAAGGTTAAAAGCTTAGTTTATCAGTGGTAGAATCCAACAATATGCTCACTTTTCTCCTTTTTCTTTTTTGTTCTCATTGATAGGAGTATTATTTAGTATGTAACTTCCTTGAGTTGAATCTCTGAAATAAAAATGGAACAGGTGAAAACTATAGGGAATAATTTGATGCATAATTTCATTGCAATTCAGATAATAAAGTTTTTATTCATGTTAGTTTGTAGTTGGGTTGGGGAAACACAGTCGGAATCCATTTGAAGTATTTTTGCTGTCCATGTCTTGTTAGAATTAAAGAGCAAATGTTTTCTTTAATTCTCATGGAAGTAAGCTTATGCTATTGAAATTCTGTTTAGGAGCACTCACTATTGTGAACCAAGCTGGATCTCTTTCCATTATCTCTGTTCCTTAACTAATGCCAAAAAGAAAAGAAAAAAGAATATTTTTTGTAGATTTTGTAGCACACACAGAGGAATCTTTGGACCTTGTATTTTTTCAATCTATTTTCCCCTACTTTGTGAAGTTCTATAACTTTTTAGATATATACATTATGGTGGATATTAGGCAAATTCGAAAATCTGTTTTGGCCCGTTCTATACACTTGTGATTGATGAAAAGATGACAGAGAACTTGTCTGGAAAAGAAATACCCTCATTTTTTTACCCTTGTCTGAATTCCTTCTTGCAATATCCACTGTAGTGACTTTACCATTATTTTTTTTTAAGCAAGGTATAAAAATTGCCAAGTGTTATTTGTCACCTCTCTTTTGTTTGCTAAAATAGCCACTGAGACATAAATTGATACCCTATACTTGTGTATAAATCTTGAGAGAGATTTGAAATTTTGCAGGACTAGAACTCCTTTTTGTCTCTGTGCATTTTGAACCGTGTTCCAGTCGTCGGCGATCCAAGCGGCCATCGTCGGCATTGAGACTCCTCTCCATCTCCGGTCAGTTTTCTTTTTGGGTATATACTATCTCTGCCCTTAAATGTTAATCATTGTCGCTTCGAGTATAGTCGCTTCGAGTATAATCGGTCGAACACAATAACTTTTGTTCAAATATTATATTGTGTTAACAAATTTATTAAATATATACAAACCCATTTGCAATCATTGAAGTCATTGTTTTAAAATCATGAACCCGTAAAGTTAAAATCCTCTGTTTGTTATTGATTGATCTATGAAATGAGACATGACACACTGTTTTGTGCCTGCAAGTTAGAGCTATGCACTTTTCATGCTCCATGTTGGAAAAAGTGGTGGAGGTTTTAAATTTGTGGCTTAATATTGCACAAAGTCATGATTAATTGAGTGTGCTAACAAATTATAATTTATTATGCAATTTAATTCTATAAATTAATTTGAATTATGATCAATATAACATGTAATGTATTCGTTCGATGGAATATCGTAGTTGGATGTATAATAGGAATTATCCTAATCGTCGGTTTTTGAGGGAGGAATTTATAGAAGGGGTTAAGGAATTTATTACGCATGCAATGTCAGTTGAACCGTTTCGGATTGAAGGGTTGATTAGGTGTCCTTGAAGTGCAAGTGTTTGCATTTTTTTGGATCGGAGGATGTTAAGACTCATCTTTATAAAAAAGGGTTTATGGATGATTATTTTGTGTGGATTAGTCATGGAGAGGATCTGCAGAGGTATTGGACCATCAAGAAATTCAAGAAGCAGAGTGAACTGGGAAAGAAGGCCCGAGCATCTGAGAAGGGTGGCTCCTTGCATTGTTTGGGTTCAAGGAGCATCGGGGATACGAGGAGACACCTGGTAATTCCTTAAAATATTTCGGTCTATTTTTATCGAACTATATTTTTATATATGTTAATTTCGTTAACATGTTTTATTATATTTGTAGGAAAAAAAATATGGGAGGAAGATAGTCATGATGAATTCTTCATGGAGACTCACATCCGAAAGAAGAAGGCATCGACAGATCCAACTAGATGGGTCGAGGACCAGGCAGAGACTACACATGTAAGTTTCATAACTACTATAAATGTTTATAATATTATATAGTTAGTAATTTTCTATCTTCTAAATAGAGGATCGCTACAAGATTAATGTGGAGGAATACACTCAGATCTTGCCATCGAATGAGCAAGGCGAGCGACCGTCCATTTCAGACGAAGAAGCACAGAGGATATGGTTGGGTGTTGTCGATTGTCCTAAAAAGGGGAGAGCATATGGCCTTCCAGATAAATCATTTCGGCGCTACAGGGCTGGATTGCAAGGTATAGGGACTTCCGTCCAAGGCGAGGCGATTGATAGGTCGACTATATCGTCTATGGAACAGAAGATCGCAAAGCTGACAGCAGAGCTTGAAGAGACAAAGGCTAGAGATAAAAAGAGAGACGAACAATTTGGTACCCTTTAAGTTCAGCTAGAAAGGAGGGACGAACAATTTAATCTCCTTCAAGTTTAGCTAGAAAGGAGGGACGAACAATTTAATCTCCTTCAAGGTCAGCTGGCCAATCTTCTTGCTAGTGGTGCTTTCCTCATTCCCCGGTATCGTGAGCCTTCCCCATGTGCCGACGATGAAGGTTCTAGGAGAGAAGATGGAGATGATGCTAGATAAAACACTCATTGATTGGTGTGTATTGCTAAACAAAGTATTGAACTTGTCAATATTTTAATGAGACTAATTTTAAATGATGATTTTATTGTTATTTTGTTATTGAACATTTTAGTAGTTGTTGTGGTTGTTATTAGTTGTTGTTAGATAATGGTTGTTAGTGTTAGTTAATATTTTTTGTTAGTTAATTGTTGTTGTTGTTGTTAGTTTATTCATTGTTGTTTATTAATGGTTGAATGACAGCAATGTAATGCTGCCATTATTGGATGAATATTGATTGTAATTGACAGGTGGTGTAGCTTAAAAGCAGGCATTTTTTACCTGATTTTTACCCAAATTTCCGATCGAAATCGGTCGGAAATTAATTTTTTTACCCAAAAAATTCATAATTTCGGTTGGAAATTAATTTTTTTTACCTAGAAATTCATAATTCCTGGTCGAATTCGGTCGGAAATTTCAAATAAATTCTCAAGATTTTTGAAATTTTCGACCGAATTCGGTCGGAAATTATGAATTTATATTTAATTTTTATAAATTAACAATTTATAACTAAGTTATTTGATTAAATAGAATTATTTTTTTTTTAAATTCTCGACCGATTTCGGTCGAAAATTTGAAATATTTTTTTTAAAAATAGTTTTCGACCGAACTCGGTCGGAAATTTGAAAAATAACAAAAAAAATTTAATAGTTTTTAACCGATTTCGGTCGAAAATATAAGTTTCACAGTCAATCAACGCTTTGAAATTTCCGACCGATATCGGTCGGAAATTTCTGGCCGATTTCGGTCGGTACACGTTTGCGACCATCGTCTTCCGACCAATTAAAATCGGTTGTTCGGTCAAAAATAGCGGACTAAATTATTTTTTAGTAGTGTAAGTCCAAATAGGTATGAAGTGAAGTGCAATCAATATTTTCATGCACTTATGACCTAATAAGTTTGAAGTGCAAATTCCCATAGACAGAAACTTGTTCTTCGGATTTCAACAATTCAACAATTAAATCTACTCCAAATGAGCTCAAATTTGAAATATAACCTCCAAATATCATAAAGAACAAACCCAATCATCAATTTATAAAAAAACAAATCTAACAAATTCACTTTGGAGTTAAAAGAAGAAGAAGAGGTGGAAGAAGAAAAACTTTACACAATCGCAAAGAAAGGAGCGCACTATAACTCACTACTATAAAACACCATAAATCACCTTAAAACCTGCTCACAAAAATCATGTAAATTCACCGTCATCTTTATTTTTACAGCGAAGAAGAAGGAAGAGAAAGAGGAGGAGAAGGAAATTTATTTTTAGTATGTATGTTGTTGTAGATATGTCAATTTTTTGTTAAATTCGTATGAAATTTATTTTTAATTTATATGCTATTGTACTATACATTATTCTTTTCTTAAAAGTACAGCTTATATCAATCAAATTCCATGCCGATAGATGAAAGAATAATAGCTAACGGTTTCCAGATTTAGATGTAAAGATGAGCCACAACAAAGTCCTCACCCATAAAAGCTGGAAGTAGAACACGTCGATCATTTTTCAATATATAGCACAAATTCCACATTTCCAAGTTCAAATGTCTCAAAGCATGTTGTCCGTCAATGAACAATAGAATACATGCAACAGATTATAAAAAATGTTAGCTAAGGCAACACACAACTGGAACGGGTCTTATATAGATGGAATAACATATTATAATAATAAATTGTACATGGAAAAATATCTTAAATCGCCTCTAAGATTTTTAGGATTGATAATTTAAAAGAATGAGCTAAAATTTCGTTTTCCCTTCTTAAGTCCAAGCGCAACTATCGCAATTGCGACTTGGGGTACGTAATTGCAAACCCCGCAAATGCGAAAAATCCTTCGCAAATGCGAAGTCTTCACACTTCTACTGCCATCGCAATTGCGATGCTTTGTTCGCAAATGCGAAGTTGGACTTCTCACAATTGCGACCATTTGATCGCTAATGCGAACTCTGTTGACTCAGCCCTACTTCGCAAATGCAAAGATTTTCTTCGCCAATGCGAACAGTTTCCTCGCAATTGCGAGGTCAGAGACCTGCGCCAGAACAGATGTTACACCAGCTATTTTCTAAGTCCAAAACCACTCCGAATTCGAAACTCACCCGAGCCCTCGAGGAACCAAACCAAACATGCACACAAATTCAAAAAGATAATATGAAATAACACCTAGAACTACGAATCGAACACCAAATTGAATGAAAATTTCAATGAAACTAAAAAACTTTCTTTCTAACAACCCGACGTCTGAATCACGTCAAATCACTTCCGTTTTGCACCAAATTTTGCAGACAAGTCACAAATACATTAATAAACCTATACCAAGTTCCGAAATAAAAATCCGAACCCAGTAGCAACAAAGTCAAACTTCGGTCAAAATAAATTCTTTAAGCCTTTAAACTTTAAATTTTCGACAAATTGCGATAACTCGAGCTAGGAACCTCCGAATTCGATTCCGGACAGACGCCCAAATCCCAAATCACGATACAGACTCACCGGGAGCGTCAAAATACGAATATTTTAAGGCAAAAATTCATGTTTTAATCAATTATTCACATAAAAATCTTCCGGAAATATACACGGACTGCGTACGCAAATCGAAGAAGGATAAAAGAAGCTATTTGAGATTTCGAAACACATGGGATAAAAATCAAAATAACCTACCGGATCATCACATTTCTCATATGAAAAATTCTAGCGATCACCATATTTTTGCAAATTTTGTGGCAAATCCTGATGATCGTCCTATAAAAGATTATCGCAATTCTCAAGGGCGCTTCTTGAAAATATGGTAGATGCTATTTTTCCAAGATCTTTCGAGATTCAGCATTGCAACTTGATAATAGGCTAAATCTAGGTAATTTGGCAATTGTTTATGCGCCTGCTTGATTATGTTCCAATGTCATAGTATGGTTAATTGATTAAAAATGGGCTCTAATTGTGAATTGTACATATTGCAGGACGAGGAGCCTAGTGATGCCTTAAAGAGGTGATTGGAACTATTTTACAGCAAGAACGACCCTTCGGAGCTGAGTATGCACGAAGACGAGGAAAAGAATCAAGGAATTAAAGATCTGGGCTAGCGCGCCCAGATGCGCGATCGCGCTACTTTTAGCGCGCCCAACACAGAAAGTCAGCAAACTAGCACGACCAGATGTGCGCCTAGGTGCGCGACCGCGCTAGTCCAAGTTCCGGAAAGACTTGTTCAGGGGTATAATTGGAAATCTGGAGGAAATCCCACTTAACCTATATAAAGTCAAGCTCGCCCAAGGATTATTTATCAAGGTTTTCATAGTCTAGTGCAAGAAATAGAGAGGCAAGAGGCAAGGAGGAGATTTGACCATCAAGCTCTTCTTTTCTTCCCTTTGTTGTTGCTATTTGTGATGAAATTGAACCTTATTGTGATGAACACTAGTATGAGTGGCTAAAACCCATTGTTCTAGGGTCATGGGTGAAACATGAATGTTGTTGTTTGAAGTTTAATTCGACAAAGTTGGTTTATCATATTGGGTTGTTTATTTAATTCTGCTTTTAATTATTTTGCTGAGTAGCTAACAGTGAAATACTATCTACGAATCTTTAGTTAAACTCGAAAGTGGGAACTTTAGATTGCATATAGAATAAAATAGAGCAAGTTCTTGAACCCGGGCATCGGGGAGCGAATTAGCAATTGAGATAGACATATACCCAATTGCCTTGCTTGGTTGAAATACAGGAATTGTAAATGCATTCTTGATAATCTTAATTCCATAGACATATAGGCATTGAGTTAACTTGAATAGGCGAGTAAGAACTCGACAGATTCTTATGAGCAATATTAACCCTGTCAATCAACAATCCAGATAAATCAATTAGTCGTTTTAAGCCAAGAACACAACACGATTGTCAGCTAGCCCGTGACCCTAGAATATCCTCTCCTACTGATTGTTATTCGAAATTGCTGGTTGGTTGGTTAATTGTCCTAGTTAAATTATTGCTTGATAGTTTAGGTAGTAAATTAGTTATATCTCTATTTTGTGAAAAGCTCTTGGATAGATACGTTAATAGAGTTTGAATCAGTCAACAGTTAATCACAAGTCTTCGTGGGAACGATACTCTACTCACTACTTTATTACTTGACGATCACGTGCACTTGCGTGAGTATTTTTGGTCGCAACAAGTTTTTGGCGCCGTTGCCGGGGACTTAGAAATTAGCTACTTGACTGAGTTGGGCTTTTATTATTTATTTATTCAAGTTTTAATTTTCAGTTCACTTTGTTTGTGCTAATACAGGATCTTTCCTTGAATGCGAAGAAGTAGAAGCGCAAACAATCTCCTTCCTCTTGATCCCGAAACTGAACAAACACTTCACAGAGTGAGGAGGGAAGTGGACGCTAGAACCAGAATTGAAAGAGAGTTGAACATCGTAGTTCAACCACATCCAGTTGAGATGGCAGGTAATGAGGAATGCGCGGTGATTGAAGCCGTAAGGCCCAGTCTGGCTAATATGACTCAGGCTATTGTGAAGCCTGATATCACTGGGCACTTTGAAATCAAACAATACATGGTGCAGCTGATCCAGTCCAGAGGGCAATTTGTGGGTTTACCTCATGAAGACCCGCAGAGGCACATTCAGAATTTCCTGGAAATTACGGATACTTACAATTATCCGAACGTTTCCAAGGACTATGTCAGGCTGACACTTTTCCCCTTTTCATTGATCGGGGAAGCTAAGGAGTGGTTGAATAAGGAGCCAGCGAATTCAATCCGCACTTGGGATGATTTGGCACGGAAATTATTAATCAAGTTTTTCCCCACTAAGAAAACAAAGATATTGAGGAGTCAAATTCTTGGGTTCGAACAACGAGCTGGCGAGACACTTCGTCAAGCATGGGAAAGGTACAAGAAGATGCTTAGAGACTGTCCACATCATTGTCAGACGGACGGGGTATTGGGTCACACTTTTGTAGATGGATAAGATGATGCATCAAAGATGAATCTTGATTCAGCTTGTGGGGGTAGTTGCATGGCCAAACCGTACAGTGAAATCCAAATCTTGCTGAATAACTTCACTGCTAATGATAATAACTGGCAAGGTGAGGGTGACTCATGAAAGGCAGTTAAGCAAAATCAGCTGGGTACTTGAGCT